CACCCGGCGGGTCTTCCCAAGGCCCCTCTCCTGACTGAGTGCGAAGGGACCACATCTCCACATCTCCGTCTGGCCACCGCGGGTGAGGAGGGTCAGCATCCAGAAACTTCTCTCAACCCTTCAGTCTCTGAAACTTGCCATGTTTCCTGATAGAGGCTCGCTCGAGCTTAGAGACAGTGAAAATGGGTGTGGACAATTGGCACAGGGAGACGCTCCCCTCTCCTTGGGCACAGCATCACCGTCTCTGCACCGGCAGCATTTCCTTCTGATGCGCTGACTTTCTGTGTAGTTGCAGGAGACCCTCTGCCCGAAGGCCCGAGGCGTCCTGGTAACCTGATGCGGCTGCTCCAGGAGCCGCCAGATGGGCCGAGCGCTCTCACTCCTCACCACATCGCTCTCTAGGCACTTTTGTCTCTTTTAAATTTGTCTCCAGGGGCATATATTACTTCTGTAATTTAAAGCATGTTGACGGTGCAAAATACAAGTGAAACACAGTAATGAAAAGTTTTAAAGGAAAACAGAGATGGAGAAGGGAAGTGTCCTGTGGTCAGGCGTGGACTAGGAGCAGGGTGAGCAGGAGGCCAGCTGTGGTCCAGGCTGCAACCTTCATATGTTCACAGAACCACTTTGCTACGAACCCCAGCACCACTCCCGAGAGGCCCTCGGCCGTGTCCGTTTCCCTGCCTGGCAGGTGGCACCACAGGCACCACGTTTACTGCTGTTTCCGTGTCTCTGGGCGACCTCGTATCTGAGAAAAGTATTAACACCTTTGTCTTCCCGAGAGCAGTGCCACCCCTTCGGGTCCTCAGACACTTCCCAGGGAGGTCACAGCCCAGCAGCCCACAGCTCACACCCAGCAGCACTCCAGGCACGAGACCCACCCTCCCAGCATGCCTTAGGGCAGTGATGGCGAACCTATGACACGCGTGTCAGAGGTGACACGCGAACTCATTTTTTTGGTTGATTTTTCTTTGTTAAATGGCATTTAAATATATAAAATAAATATCAAAAATATAAATCTTTGTTTTACTATGGTTGAAAATATCAAAAAATTTCTATATGTGACACGGCACCAGAGTTAAGTTAGGGTTTTTCAAAATGCTGACACGCCGAGCTCAAAAGGTTCGCCATCACTGGTCTAGACTGTACCTTCCCCACTATCATCGCCCTGCAAGGTGTGTCGGCCCTCCCCTTCCCCTCCTGTCCTCACAGGTGTCCTGGTGGCTGCAAGGGTGTAACGTGGAGGGGCCTGTGGAAGATCTCAAGGCCAACACTCCATCTAGTCCATCATCAAAAAAAGTTCTGAAGATCATCGAGTGACGGATACATTCCCTGGACATAGATTGGGAAAACAGCTGCTACTTAGTCCCAGGGCACAAGAAATGGACAGTGTGTGGGGCTGAGGAACAGCATAAGGAAATAATCAGAAATGCAGGCAAGGGTTATGTACCAGGATGTTCACAGAGGCATTATTTAAAATTGCAGAACCAGCCAAAAGAACAGTTGGACTGAAACTAAATAACCCAAAATAGGAGATGGTTACACAAGATGGACCATTAAACAGACATTAAATGTCATGGTCTCAGAAAATACATAATTAAGTGGAAAAACACACTGTAGAGTTAAAAAAACATGCCCGGCTGCATGCACAGTGTGTCCAGATCTGTCCACCGGAGGGTTTGCAGTGAGCTGAGGCTTGTGACACCGACTGAGGACAATATAAAGGACTTTCCTGTCATAGTTGAGGCCATGAGGAAAGAAAAGGTCGGACAGGAAGGACCCGGTGCTGGGGGAAGAGAGAAATTTGCTAACAGACACTAGGATTCCTTTTCCCCCAGCAAAGCAAATGACCTTCAAGTTCCAAAAACTGAACATACAGTGAAAATACATGAGTTTCAACCCAAAAGGCAAAGAAGGCTATTTGATAAGCTGGATAAAGGCTAACACCACACCTGTTTGGTGTGCCGCCACTTCTGTAGCCCCTGGCACATCGGCACATAGTGGTATCTCAGTTAAAACTGTGGCAAACAAATGAGTACAGGGATGAAGACACAATAAGACAGATTGAGAGTGGAGGTTACCAGAAGCCGGGGGTGGGGGGTAGGGGGGGATGTTGGTCAAAGCGGATAAATTTCCAGCTTTACAATTAGCAAGTTCTGGGGATTGAAGGCACAGCATGGTGACTATCTATATATATAAAAGCCTAAGCGACTGAACGACCAGTTGACCGGTCGCTGTGATGTGCACTGACCACCAGGGGACAGGCGCTCAATGCAGGAGCTGCCCCCTGGTGGTCAGTGTGCTCCTACAGCAGGAGCACCAATCAGCTGGCTGACGGGCACCAGACGCCGGGCTCACGGCTGGCGATCACAGCTGCAGCGGCACAAGCCTCTTCCTCCTCTGTGGCAGCGCACTACGGAGCAGTGATGGCAGCAGGCAGCAGGCGCAGTGGGGCCGGGATGAGTGGGAAGAGGGGTCCCAGATTGCGAGAGGGCACAGGCCAGGTTGAGGGACCCCACCCGTGCATGAATCTGTGCACTGGGCCTCTAGCAGCTAATAATACTGTACTGTGTGCTTTAAAGATGCTGAGAGTAGGCCTTCAATGTGCTCACCACAAAAAAAGAGATGATAGCTATGCAACAGGATGGAGTGGGAGCTAATACTAAGGCAGTAATCATTTTGCAATATAGGACAACACATTTTCCACATTAAGCTTATACAATGACACATGCCGATTCTACCTCCATAGATCTGGAAAAAAAATTTAAATGAAAACATTGGCAAAAAGATCAAGACACTTGGCCCTAGTTCGGTCAGCTTTGAGTGTGGTCCGCTCGCACAAACTCCCTCTTATCCCACCATGAACTAGCGACCCACCATCTAATCTGCAGCTCCCCCCGGGAATCACACAACCCCAGAGCCTGACTTTCAGGGCGCCCCTTTAATAACAGAGAGATGGATGTAGAAATGTTTCCAACATAAACAGTAAAAATAATGAGGTTCTGCACGGATGTGTCCGTGCCTCACTTGCCTGGGAAATTTACTGACATGGGAGAAATCTCCCTTGGGCAATCCTGGGGAAATGAGGTGTCGCCGTATTGGTTTGGAAATATTAAATCACAGATTAAACACAGACAGCGAAGTGACTGAGAGATGATTTCAGTCTCCTCTTCAGAACGAGGGATCAGAGAGGTTTAAAATGATAACCATCGAGTCCAGGAACGGCAAACTTGGGAAATATGGAGTGCTGGAAGCCTTCCGATGTCTGTGACCCTCAGGAAGGGCCTGTCAATATTGCAATCCTAACTGTACGCCCGCAGATGCAGAGTCCTCTTCCAAGCAAACCTCAGGGCTCCGAGGACCGTCGGCCACAAACAAGACAGCCGTTTGCCTTGGCCCGAAGGGCTTCAGAGCTGCTCTTGGGGAACATATTGGAAGTGGTCCTCAGAAAGGGTGTTATCTATGGGACGAGAGGAAATCTTAAATCCTTTACATTTTATTCTGCAGCCTCTGACTCCTGCTTTAATGCTCCTTTGATATGTGATTCATGTCGCTCCTTCAGAAAATGTAGCAACAGCAAAAAGTCTTTCCGATGAGCAGTTCAAACATCCCACAATCCCAAGGCCTGTGTCCACCTCAGAACCACCCTCATCATGATTATAACATGCGATTACTTTAGGTGCCACAGAGAAAGGGAAAATACTGCTTCTAAGCTGCACTCCAAGAACTCCTGGGACCTGGGACTCAGTCATTCTCATCGGCAGGGCTTCTGAATGCTTACTGAAGCTCAGTTGTTCATCTTGTCACTCTCAGGTCTGCATAAATATAAAAGTACTTGAGGCTCAGTGCATGCATTCGTGCACTGGTGGGGTCCCTGGGCCTGGCCTGCGCCCTCCCGCAATCCAGGACCCCTTGGGGGATGTTGGAGGCCTGGTGCAAGGATTCAGCCCTATCCCCACAGGGCAGGCCAAGGGACCCCCACTGGTGCATGAACCCGTGTACCAGGCCTCTAGTATGCATGTAAGATCTTTGGTAATCTCTTCCCGCCCTCCCTCCTCCCCACTTCCCTCTGAGATTCAACAGTCTTTTCCATGTTTCCATGCCTATGTGTTGAGCATCTGCCCCCTGGTGGTCAGTGCACATCATAACTGCCAGTCGAACGGTCAGACACTTAGCATATTAGCCCTTTATATATAGAGATAAGCAACGTGTTGACTAAGGCGGTCCTAACACTGACATTCCAAGCCCAACCTTCCCAAACATCTTTCCCACACCACTCTACCGTCTGTGGTCAGGGTGTGGGGATGCTTAACGTGTTGACTAAGGTGGTCCTAATGCTGACATTCCAAGCCCAACCTTCCCAAACATCTCTGAGGTGCCGGTGTCATGCTTTCCCGCACCACTCTACCGTCTGTGGTCAGGGTGTGGGGATGCTGAACTGCCCTGGAATGTGTTCCAAGTGGCTGATGCTCATTCTGCACATTTTCACGCACGTGGACAGGCAATGACAACGGCTTCAAGGCTGCCACAAGACACAACCCTTTTCCAGAGAAGTTCAAATGCGAAGACAACACGTGGATGTCAGAGGCGAAGCATGACCTGCCCTGAGAGGTCCTGTGGAGGACTTTGGTCCAGCGCTCTAGTTTCGTGTGGGCTTCCACAGCATCTTCACCGCTCAGCCACGCCTGCAAATCTGGAGTCTGACAAGGTGTTAACGAGCTTTACAAAGGCACCGGCCCTGGCATCTCTATCAGCAACAGCAAGACCCTGACGTGTTTGAACTTAACCTAGAACTCAACTCATCCTTTTCCACGTTTCTAAGCTTTAAAAAACACCCTTGCTTCTCTGAGCTTATAAGTAACTCTTAGATAGAGGCCTTTCTTCCTTCCTTCCTTTCTTTCTTTCTTTCTTTCTTTCTTTCTTTCTTTCTTTTTTTCTTTCTTTCTTTGTTCCTTTTTTCTCTTTCTTCCTTTCTCTCTCTCTCTCTCTCTCTCTCTCTCTCTCTCTCTTCCTTCCTTCCTTTCTTTCTTCCTTTTTTCTTTTTTTCTTTTTTGGAGAAAATATTGTCTTCTTATTTCAAATTTATAGACTGATTTCTGGAGATGAGGTTCGTTCTCTGAGGCTGTAACTCCGTGTCAAGCACGCAGTGTTGAGGGAAACGGAGGATTCAGACCAGCGGGCCGGGGGATGAAAGCACCACTGTGTGCACCTTGGGAAGGTAAGCTGTGCGCACCTCGGGAAGGTAAGCGCTAAACCGAAGCACATCGGCTACAAGGCAGACCTGAGAAAACATGAGGCCTGAATAGTCACATGCACTGAGATGGCAGCTTTTCAGATTCCATAGCATAATGGCTCAGAGCAGCTTGGATATTTGTTTGTTTTACAAAAATCCTACAAAGTAGAAAACAGAACTAGAGAAAAGTTCTATAGAATTTGCACATAAAATGTTTTTAAAGGTTCAACTCTGATCCAGGCGCCACTGGGAAGTCACACAAGTGCAACTGGATTGCTGAGGCAGGGAGATTGGGGGAGAGAAGACAGAACACGGTGTGGGCTTCCAGGCTCTGCTCTTCGTAAAATGGGAAAGAAATGCCACCCGAAAAGGGTCCGTGGGAAAAAGAAGACTATAATAACTACAAAACACTAGCCATTAGACTACACTAATGTGCACCTTTATCTCCAACTAGAGGCCTGGTGCACAAAATTCATGCACAGGGTGGGGGGTGTCCCTCAGCCCAGCCTACACCCTCTCCAATCTGGGATCCCTCTCACAATCTGGGACTGCTGACTCCTAACCGCTTGCCTGCCAGCCTGATAGCCCCCTAACCACTCCCCTGCTGGCCTGGTTGATGCCTAACCGCTCCCCTGCCAGCCTGATCACCCCCAACTGCCCTCCCTTGCCAGCCTGATCGCCAGCAGCTACCCTCTACTACAGGCCTGGTCACTCCTAACTGCCCTCCCCTGCAGGCCTGGTCACACCCAACTTTCCTCCCCTGTCGGCCCGATTGCACCCAACTGCCCTCCCCTGCCATCCTGCCCTCCTCTGCAGGCCTGGTCACCCCCAAGTGCCCTCCCCTGCCGGCTATCTTGTGATAACCATCTTGTGGCAGCCATCTTGTGACGACATCAAACGATGCCACCTAGGCTTTTATTATATAAGATAGGAACAGCTTTAGGGATCAGGGATTTGGAGGAATTGCGGAGCACAGCCCCATGGGTGGCAGTGGTGACATCCAGCTGCTGGGCACCGAGCTGGCACCAGCCTGTGAGGTCCTGCAAAGCTACTCACTACCCTGACATGCGGAGAAAACATGGGGACTTTCAGTTAGTTCTTGGTGGTCTGCTTACTCACAGGGAGGTTTTGTATTTCCTCCTCAGTTGCTGTAGCAAGTAGAGAGAAATACTGGCAAATTGCACACATACTCACTATAGCCTCAGCCTGGACAGGAGACATATCACCTCCCAATAGCTCATTGACCTCAGAAATAGCCACACAGCCCCCTCTAAGAAAGGTGACTGAGAAATGTAGGAGAGTAAATAAAATAGTTACTGAATGTTACCATCTCTCCCACTTAGTGTAAAAATCTTTCTATAGAATCTTTTAATATATTTTACTTGGTTTTCTATCCTCTTTTATCTAGTATAACTCCTCTTTCTTAAAGATACTGGAATATAACTTCTTTCTTACAGTCAAGAAGGATCAGTGCCATCTGAGAATGATAATAAATCCTTGGACAGAAAAATTTTAAGGGACCAGGGAATAAAACATGAACAAATATTTCCAAATCCTTCTAGATATATTCGTCCAGGTTCTGTCAGGATGTAAGATGGAGTGCCTCCCATGTGCCAGATAAGCTGCCAAAGGCTCTGTCTCTGGGTGCACATGGTTGAATAAACCTTGTTCCCACGCAAAGCAGGGACAGCAGATAAACACATGAAGTCATGTCTCCAGAAAACCATCACAGAATCTTCTGAAGTTTAAAGATTAAAAAAGAGAGAAAAATCAGATCTGTAGGTAGACAATGACAGTAGGGTTTGAAGAAACTTCATAGTGCAAGTGACATTGAAAGAAACTTAAAAGACAGTTTGAATATAATTCAAAATATTAGAAAAGTGCTCATTATATTTTTCAATATTTTTTACCACACATTGAGAAGAAAACTTATCTTCCCATTTACTCACTTGACAGAAGTGACAGGAGTCCATAGGGATACCACCTTTTTCTGGTTCCATATCATTTGTTTTTGCCTTTTCTAACTGCTGTGCTGAATGTGAGTGTGAAAAACCAACCATGAGGCATAGGAAGCTGAGGGCTGAGAAGCCTGCTCATTTTCTGCTTCTTTCCCAGTTGATGGCTGAGTCAGCTTTTAAAATAACACTGCCCTTATTTGTTCTTCCCCTTCCTTAGCACCA